CTTCACTTCAGATATTAGCTCATTCATAATCTGATAGAAAAGGATATGGCCTCAGGCTGTCGCACTATCTTATTCCTGTCTGCATGAGTATTTTGCGTGTTTTTCTGCCCTCCACTTGTATTTGGGCCATATTGTCGGTATTTAACTCAAACACGATCTTTATTAAGTCTGGATAATGGTCCGGACCAAATAAAGCTTTAACCATGGCGGCCTGATTTGTCATTATCTAGTGACTTTCTTTCCGTAAATGTCAAGCAGCGAAGGATAAATATAATAACCTTAGAACCAATTTTATTTGTCTATAAATTTTAATTTATTATTTGCAAAATTTGGAGTGTATCAATTCAATCAATTTAATGAAATTGTGTAAACAAATACTGTATTATTTCCAGTTTTATTATAAAACTATATTACATTTTGTCTTCAAATTTCCTTTTAGTAATAGACAATAATCTAGCATTTACTTACTTCCTCAATATATTTTTATTCGTTTTAATGTGATAAAATAAATTTTTATCGCAATTTGCGTTTGACGTTAATGAAATAAATTTAACTGATTGAGATTAATTATTAATTCATAAATAATCCTTTAAATATTTCATCAGTGAATCTGATTTGAATGGAAGATTCTCACGTGAAATTTTAAGTTAACAACACATACCGCATCGTCGCAGAAGACATTTCAAAATTTGTCTATTTTCTAGTTCACCAAGAGCATTTATTCTAAACTGACGAAAATATTAGTATCAAACATACTTATTTTTTATCCATTCTCATATAATACGAGAATACTCAAATCAATGCGGCAATACGAAATTTTGCCCGTTCAAATGTCCCAGCGTTTTACATACTCGCCAGTATACTGTATTTCTAATTTTATTTTATGGCACAGTGTGTCCTAATTCGACACCAATACAGTGATTCGAATTAGCTCAGAAGTAACAAAGGATATCGGTAGCGTTTTCATTTTATTTTCGTCTAATAATAAAACAGCAATTACTCACCACAATAGTGTCACAATGTCGAATATTCGGTGTTCAACTGTTCTTAAGTCTCTGTAACAGCACACTATTTGGTTTTAAATTGCTTATTAACACAAAACCATTAACTTCGTTAAAAGTATTTTAATACACAAGCTTATCGGGTATTATAACTTGCCTTTTAATGCTAATACAGTGCTGGGGTAGGTTAACGAAGCCTTTTTTAATTAGATTTGTTGTAGAAAAACACGTTTAATGAACCATAATAATAGTTATAATGCTTACTAACTGCAATATTGGAGAACTAGAGTAATTTTTAGATAAAACATAAACTGCAAATATATAAACCAAATAAGGTTGCAAATATATTATTGAGTCTATACAGGGTTTTTCACTTACAACTCCGCACGCCAATAAGTCCAAAACGAAAACAAATATTTAATTTATGTAAAAAGTAGTCAAAGTGTGGGGTCAAGTAGATATTTCCTAAAGTTTAAAAAATTCGACGCCTGCAAAGAGCTGGGCGTCGCGACGCGTCGAAAAATTATTCGATTGCAGAGACTTTGGAAATACGCGCATACAAAAGTACATATTATTTAAAAACTTTTTTGTTATTTACTCAAACTTATTTACTTTACGCGTTTCTAAGTTATACCGATTTAAAGTAAACATTTCTTGATTAATAAAAAATGTGATTAACGCTTATTTTTACAAGTATGCCATGAATGTTAGTTACTATGGCAACCATTGTTATCGCAGTTATTTTAAGTGCAATTACAAACGTAAGTTGTTATTGCCGTATCAAAAAATTGTCAAATTTTGTCACAAGAAATATCCAAATTTGTTCGGTTTAAAAAAAACTAAGAATTATTATGTGAAAATGGTGCAATTTAGCAATGAGGAAAAAGTAGACATGTTACTGGTGTTTGGAGAATGCAGATGCAATTGTAGAGAAGCAAAAAGAGTTTACGCACGGCGTTATCCGCATAGAAGAGTCCCCGATGCAAAAACCTATTCAAGTTTATGTAAAAACTTAAGAGAATATGGCAGCTTCATAAAACCTAAAAGAGATAGGAACAGGACGGCTACAAATGATGAAAATACTGCTGCTGTAATTCAGCAGGTTAATAATAATCCCAAGATATCCCTATCAGAGATAAAAGAAAATACCGGTGTTACCATAAGTTCTTCGTGGAGAATTCTACATAGAAACTCTTTTCACCCGTACAAAAGTAAACTAGTTCATAAACTAGAACCAGGCGATTATGCTAGAAGAATGTATTTCTTAGCGACATTGTCCGATTTGTATAGCCAAGATGCAAATTTTCTCTCGAAAATTTTATGGAGCGACGAAAGTCGATTTCAAAATAACAACTGTCGTTTTTGGTCCGAAAACCATCCTCGTTGGATTACAGAAAGAGGTAACCAACGAATTTTTAGTATCAATGTTTGGTGCGGCATATTAAATGGATTCCTTATTGGACCTTACTTTTACGAAGGAACTTTAAATGCAGATCGCTATTTAAGATTTCTTCAAACTACACTTCCGGAACTATTAGAAGAAGTGCCTCTTGACACTAGAATGAATATGTGGCTACAGCAGGATGGAGCGCCTGCACATAATGCCCAAATAGTAACGAGGTATTTGAACCGAGAATATCCCAATAGATGGTTTGGTACTAATGGACCGGTAAGGTGGCCGGCGAGGTCCCCCGACATTACACCACCAGATTATTTTCTTTGGGGCTACCTAAAAAACGTTATCTAGAAGAAGATATGGCTGATCTCGTTAACAAAATTAGTGCAGCGTGTGCCGCTATCACAAGAAGGACTCTCCTACAAGTGACCCAAGCTCATCTGTTAAAAGTTTTTGATAGTTGTGTTCGAGCAGATGGACATAATTTTGAACAAATTTTTTTAAATGTCTTATTATGCAGTTAATTGCAATAATAATTTTGGTTATTAACTTGTAGGTATTTTACTGTTTTTTCATTTATTTATTTATTATTTATTTATTTATTTATTTTATGTTATCAGAACTAAATCGATAAAAAATAATAAATAAAATCATACTAAAATAGTTGAAATCTATTGTTTGTAATTGCACTTAAAACAACTGCGACAACAATGGTTGCCATAATAACTAACATTCATGGTATACTTGTAAAAATAAGCGTTAATCACATTTTTTATTAATCAAGAAATGTTTAAATCGGTATAACTTAGAAACGGGTAAAGTACATAAGTTTGAGTAAATAACAAAAAAGTTTTTAAATAATATGTACTTTTGTATGCGCGTATTTCCAAAGTCTCTGCAATCGAATAATTTTTCGACCCGTCGCGACTCCCAGCTCTTTGCAGGCGTCGAATTTTTTAAACTTTAGGAAATATCTACTTGACCCCACACTTTGACTACTTTTTACATAAATTAAATATTTCTTTTCGTTTTGGAGTTATTGGTGTGCGGAGTTTTAAGTGAAAAACCCAGTATAGTGTTTTCATTTCAGACAAGTGTTTTCGATACCAACTTCTAAGTAATGTTGCCAAATGTTCTGAAAATGCGGTAAATATTTCATGTTCATTTTTTCATAACAACCAACCAATTTGAATGAATTAGTAAAAAGTAAAAACTTCAGATGCTTATAAGTTTCGATGACAAACAAGATTTGCTAGTTCCAGATTAGTGACTATAACTGCAATTTTATAAGGTGCCAATTCCAAATATCGTCGGAAGCTTGGTTTGATATCCTTGCAACATAAGATAACACACAATCGTACATAAAAATAAATTACAAATAGTGGTTCAATAACCACAAAACTATTAAACCAGAGTATAGGAACATTAAAGTGCAATAATATAATAACAATAAATACATTTTTTTCTTAATTGCATTTTAATTTTAATTTCGCTAAAGTCTCGATAAGCAGATAATACCAACAAAATTAAGCTTTCCTGGGTTTAAAACTACATATTGTTGAACAAAATACAATGGAGTGTTATAATTTTCTGGAGCCACAGACAATTTCTTGGTTGTAAAGAAAATTTTGAGTGCTTTTGAATTAATCAGGATTTATTTAACATAACACCGATAACACTGTATTCCAATGCTTTGACAATATGATACGTAATAGAGTCCAACATAGCACCACTAATGGAATTTGCGTTGGTTACTTGATAAGCCTCTAGAATTTCGAAATAATGATAGTTATTATTTAGTTAAGCTGTGACTTGCCGAAATTTTTTTTTTATTATTATTACTTTTTGTAGTGTGTAGAGAGAGGCAAACTAGTACCACCGGTTAATTACTGTCATTCTTAATTTGTATTGAAAAAACTAACCTCTAAACTAAAATGCCCTTTCTATGAAGCGGCTAGCTGCACTTTGATACATGTTACCGTCCACCAAAGAACGTTTGGTGGACTGGCAGGAGTTAAAGTATAGAGTAGTTCTCCTAAAGCACAATGATTTGTACCTCCGAGGATCTATTTCGTTGTACTCGAAACGGAGATTTATGCGATATGTGTGTTCATGAGAAGCTAAACAGAGGGTAATCGGACAAGCGCGCCTGCAGTGACAGTCGAGCTCTTGGAAGGAAGCTCGGGACTATTATTTGACTGCAGAGGAATATTGACAAGGCTGATGAAATGTAAGTCTGTCAGTTTCGTTTTTATATCTGGTCTTCTAGGTATTGAAGTCAATGAAAAGGCGGACAGACTGATCCGCGACTCAATAGCTTAATTCAGTTCCTAGTACTCTCAGTCGCCTGCTCCCTAAGCGAATTATTTATCTCGTTCTTCAATATTGATCCAAGATGTACTAGGAACTGAATTAAACTATTGAGTCTGATGAAAGAGGTACTCGAAAGTACAGGATTTTTCTAAGAGAGCGAAGTAGTGCGGGCATAATGGATCATAAGATCTGAATGCAACGTTATGGTTCGGGATTCTAGATAGAAATGAACTAACAACCGAAAGTAAGAAAATTCAAGGATTCATAATTAATTAGGAAATAAGACTCACCAAAAATCCAGCAGATGGGGCCTTCGATCGAAATTACCCAGCTTTTCGTCTGAAAACAAAAGGCGACGTGTTAAAGTTTTAAAAACCGCCCCGAGAGACGAATTAAACTAAACTACGAGAAAATCAATTAAGGTGGAATAATTAATCCATCGTAAAATCCACTCAATACAAAAACTTATTTCGCCGAACGAACGGAGGAAAAAACACAAAACGTAATTAAATGGGTTTTGTTTTTCAGAAACAAAAACGCTCATCCAGTTGGGTTTCCTGTAGGTAATTGATTCTGTTTTTTCGAGAAACAATCATATAATTTAACGGCCATCGAGGCACAAAACGATTTTGAGTTCGCGTGAACACGTTTTTAATGTGCTTTAGTTGGACACGGATATCAAATACTATAGGATTCTAGAGTAGCTTAATTCCTTAAGTTCTTTATATAACCTTTGAGATGGCAAACGATACATAAACTTATTTTTTTTTATTGATATATTAGAGTAAGTTCAGGTTATCCCAAATTGCATTAAATCGAATTAAATCGGATTGGATCCACCTGGATTAACTCTCCCCATAACACGAGTTAGGTTAGTTGGTCTTGCATGGCCTTTATTACCCAAACTGATTTTTGAAAATGGTTTACCACATTTCATTTTTATTTCTAGTATCCAATCATCGCAATAACATATTATTCACTAACCCAACACTCCCTATTTTCTTCTGGTTTTTCATTGATATTCTTCTTTATTTTTTTCTATTTTCCTCTATAATTTTAGGTTGTCTATCCGAAAAACGCGGAGAAGAGGGCTCGCTTGGTAAGTTCAGCTAAATTACGAAACTTTGATCCGTCAATATAAACGGAAATAACAAGAAAATAAAATAAACAAAATGAATTTAACAACATTGCACAAATAGCACAAAAATCGTAAAACCCTGTTCTCATATATCCTGCCGCATTACGATTTCTACATCAGCTTAAACACAAATAAAAAAAAGTTCAATATTGGGTCACTTTAAGTGCTACTTAATACCAGACTTTACAATTTCTGAATTTTTGTATTTACTTCATTGACATCGTAAATTTTTTTAACAGAACTTTGGGCATAAAACCAGGTTCTAAAGCTACAGGTAAAGTAAACAGTCGAAAGTTTTATAAGTCATTTGTTACAAATCAAACGGTTGAGTTACAACGGAAACTGGCTCGAATCTATATAATGTTGTCCGTGTCTGGCACAGATTTGTTCGCGGAAGAACGATTTTTAATAAGGGATATATAAGTGGGAATGTAGAAAAGAAATAAACTGTTTTATTTGCACAAATATTAATCGAACTGGTACTAAGAATCGGGTATGCTGGAGGCCAGCAAGTTTTAAAAATACCGTTTGATGCGATGACTTGATAAGGTGATTCAGGTGAAGATGGCTAACGGTTTTACGGTCGACACCCACGCGGCCCATCTGGGGCTTTGACCACGGAATTACAGTCGAGTTTTTCTGTAAAACTTCATTTAGTGTTTTTAGCTTTAAGCATATTTGGTGAATTAGTATTAAAGTAGCTCAAACCCATCCTAAAAAACAACGACCAGGAAATTCTTTCAATAATTACTTTAAGGCGCTCCGTATTTTTGAATAAAAATAAATAAATAAATAAATATTACATGCCCCAACTGCAATGAGGTTACCCGCCATTTGTACCATTTGCAATTAGCAAGTAATCGGTTCCGCTAAGAACTGAGAAATGAAGGATTATTTAATTCGACTTAGACCCTTCATTAGTACAACGTTGATTTGCATTTTTTTATACGACTGGGCCTGATATTCGATAAAACACCTGTCTACTTAGTTATATCATGATCTTTCAACTAAATTAAGAAGAAATTTTTTTGGATCACTGGTACTATCATGATTATTTTTGTCTTGTGTATGGAATTATAAAGATAACATCCCATAAACTGTATGAGGCAATTTGGTTGCATATGATGAATCGAAAGAAATTGCCTCTCGTTAAATTCTTTTTTTTTACCATGTATACTTGGGGAACTAAAGTACATTGAATGTCACAAGGGACAAAAAATAATACACTAAATTAATAATTACAGTATAGTGACTGTGAATTAATTTAATATTTCATATTATTAAATAAATAATATTAAATTATTAATATTATCGTTTCTCACTTTGTCTGCTTTATACACTATAACAAGTTGTGTAAACGATATGACTCTATTGTTTTGTCTGTAACGTTCATGTTAGCATTTAAATTTTAAATGTTTTAATTTGGATCATTTCATCCCAATTGTTTGGAAGTGACCTATTGATAGTTGAAGATTGTTTTAGATCGATAATAATGTTCGGTTTTTGAATTTAATTAAAACATATTGGGGACAAAGGGTTTCTTTTTCTGATAAAAAATAGAATAGATTACCCTTATTATCTTATTATCTTTATCTTATTTATCTACTGGTTTGTAGTGAATACTCTGAATTTGGATATTAATATTAAAAACATGGCACGGGGCTGTGACACGAAAGCACCGACACAAACACAGCGATAGAAAAAAATATTTTCATTTAATTCATTTTCAAAACGTCTTCAAAATTTATTATACATTCCAATTTAAGGATTTTAAATTTTTTAGTGAAAAAATCATTATTTATTTATTTCACTTAATAAATTTCCTCCATCCTATTTTATTCAAAATTATTGAAGGGAACGATATGGAGCAAAAATATTAAAGAAACACATTATATTCAAAACGAACAGTTTATATATAATTATTCATCACAAACCCAGCTACTATAAAAAACATCAAAAGGCGATATCGAGACTTTAAAATTATATGTGTGTATCATGCTGCTGCAATTTTCCTCGCCATCCAAAATAGACATTTTAATTGCACACAGCCGCGTAAATTGACATCAGCTGATCATATCCGGCCCATCATGTGCGGCGTTTCATGACCGGAGTGACACAATATCTCTAAATAATTAGACACTAATTATTCAGGTTTGGTGGCTTCTCCCGATTTTAATGATTTACTAATTGGTTGCTGCTATAAATTTGCCTAAGATTCTTAGTAAATACAGCAACATATAAGGTACCCAAAAATGAGTAAATGTTCAAAGAACATTTTTAGCTGCTAAACATTGCAAATAAACTAAACTTGTTTTTACGATTGAACATCACTTATATCGCAGTGCTCATTGTTTTGCAATGGGACTAAAGAGTGTAATATATTGATATTATTCTAGAAAAATATGACACGCCATAGCTTTTGTACAATTAACAAGAGATTCCTCCCCAAACCCAATTAAATTTTAGAAAAAGGTTATTATCTAGCTTTGATTTGATCTGTTGATAAAGATGATTGAAGTTTGTTTTTTTTTTGCTACTAAAAAGCGTTTCCTCAATTTTTTTTTAACAATATCCAACAATAAAAACAATAAACTAAGAAGCGAATAAACCAAAATTGTCAAGCCTGATTCTTGCTGCAAATTGCTGCCCGGCTATTCTCTAAGGTTATAAATTTTGAAATTAACGGAAGCAAATATAACACAATATTAATTGAGAATAAATTCTAGGGATAAATTTACGAATTTTTGTGATATTTAAAATTACTCAATATTTTTTTCCATTAATTTCTAACATTATGAACATAAACGGAACCAGGGTGTTCAGTCTACCGTGAGTTATTCGGCACACCTGCTTATTAACAACATTATGGCGATTATCCCAATTCCGTTACTTATATGAACCCTTTAATACGTGATTCAGTTTTCACCGAATCAAATATTTCAAACATTTTTATGGTGTTTGCTTCGGCAAGTTTTTTGTATTTGTTTGAATATCTGCAGGAATTCAAATCGCAATCAATGTTAATACGGTAAGACAACACTCCGTGAAATTATTTATTGATTGAATGAAATGAAATATTCATTCTATTTATATATTTTATTTATTTGATGTCGACATTCAATGTTAACAACAATTAGACACATACTGTGGATTCCCAGCTACGAATCTTACATTCAGACAAGACAGAGCAAGAATGAGTCACAATGACGAAGTAAATATATAAATCGAGCTAGGAGTCAAGTTCCAAACAGGGATTTTTCGCTGTTCAAAAACAAATTGACTGCACAGGGTCAGTCATCAATCCAGCTGTTAAAAAATAGCACAGCTAACCCATGTTAATCTAGTCAGCAACAGATGTCGACTACCTACCGAAATTATAAACGAAAGCAAGGTCAACTTTGAATACTTACTTGGGTGTCACAATGACTGCAGTCGCTTCTGTTAAGTGGAAACCATGTAAGTGAATGGGACACGGAAATGGAATAGTCACTAGTAATAAATTATTTAAGCCAGCTTATCGAGTTGAATTCAACATAAGGAAAATAGCTTTTAAGTACCCTACGGCAGCAAACTCAAGGGTAATCAAACGCAAACGTAGTCTTTCTCGCCTTCAGGTGAATACTAAATGAACTTCTAAATATCCAAAGAGGGCTCGCTAAACCACTTGGACTTCTGGCCGCCATTTTTGAATTTCCTGCTCCCTCCTGTAATGTTTTTCCTCACCAATGAAGCTAAAAAAACAACACTGCAGAAGAAGAATATAACAAAGAAATAACTAAAGAAATTATTGCACGGACGTATTCGACAAACTAAAGGAAAAAAATCGTGTTAGATTAAAACACCATTTCCGTGGACTAAAGTTGAAATAATTCGATCCATTGGTAGATGCGAAATTTGCATAGCCACCGAGATTTATTCAAAGTTTAACCGGGCCGTCGTTAAACTAGGTAAACTACACGAACGTCTGTATCGATGGCAACGATAATGAACCGACGTATTTTATTATACAGAATGGACTGTAGGCGCAGCTGTTGAATCGTTGATGAACATGTGAACACATTGTGAGGTTCACATAATATTACTCCTACGTTTACGTTAACCTGTGCCTTTATTACGGCCTGTTTAGCATAGTTTAGATCGATGCTTCTCAATTCCCGTGTACATAGCCGCAACATAAACACCCACATTTCAAAGCGGAAGG